TGGTTTTTGAGTAAATTTGTGATTGTTAATGTAGTATATTTTATTAAAATTAAATAATTTGTAATAATGATGTTTAATATGTTAGTTTAGGAGAGAGCTAAAGGATGTCATAGAATTGTTAACTTAAGGGTAATATAATTTAAGACAGAGTATAATTATTGTATTGTAAACCCTGTGTGTAGCTCTGGGAAGTCGGGGGAAAGGGAGGGGGGTGGGGAAGGGTGGGGTATGAGGGAGGTGGGGAGTTATATTGTAAAAATTTTAAAAATTTTCAATATAAATAAATAAATAAATAAACCCAGAATGATAATACTGAGATTCTATGGTCTAAACTAGCAACTGGCTAACTTTGCCAAGGCTGATATGCGCCATGTTTATTAGAGGGAGACAAGCAGGGAATTGAAAACTCCAGAAAAAGGCAATGACAAACAGCTTGGACATTTTTGGCCAAAAAGACCTGCATGAATGTGTCTATGTAGTCTCCAGGAGTCAAGGTCAACGTAACTGGATTTTTCTTAACCTGTTATGTAAATTTAACTTAAGTGGGTTTATTATGCAGCAATCTTTGCATGCTCAGGGTCTCTATTTTTTGAAGTTCAGAGATGTCAATTGGAACAATACAATCATTTATCTAAAATAGTAAAGATTTGATAAGAAATTCATCTCAGATACTGCTATACACTCTGAAATAGTTTTATTCAATAGTACCTGTTTTGATTATGATGAGATTCAATATTAGAAAAACAGAGACCAAGCTAGATGTATAGCATGTTATGATAGTTATTTCTCACCTTTTAAAATTCTACCAGTGCACATTTATCTATAAATTTCTATGCACAACTGTGATTCCAAATAAGTGTGCACAAGACTACATTGTTAGTGTGAGATCCTATAAATCTCTACTCAAGCCCCTTTGAGATCAATAGGACTTATTCTTGGTAAGTGAATATATGTAGGAGTTCAGTATTAATATTTTATGTACTCAACATTCTATTTACTGTATTCTTTTGATGCTTTGCTACCATTTTACTGTACCTTATTTTCTCCAGTATAATTCACCATAATCAGAGTTTATTTAGCCTTAAACCTATTTGCAATTCCAAATTTCTCTGTAAACTCAGTTTGGATGTAATTGTTCCTAAATAAATTCCTATATGTACAAAAGTTTATTTTATCCCATATTATTCAAAACAATTACCCCCCCCAAAGATTCCCCTAGAAATATCTAATTGATGTCTTAAATTTATGTCCCTAGATATGTTCTTACAAACTTTTCTAATGAACTACAATAACTTTAATCTTCATTAAAGATTCTGCATCATGATTACAATGCTGTGCTTTCCAAAGAAAATGGTTATCGATTTTATTACTGTCAGAAACCAGCATTACAAATAAAAGCATTACAAACAATAATAGTAATCAATAAAAATGAAAGACAGAATAATATATTGCAATTCATGGTGGATTATCAGTGGGCAGTTAGAGTCTGCGTAATTTGGCATACAGCATAACAGAATTTGGCCACATTCAAAGAAACTATTTTGTACTGAAAAAATGGCTCAGAAAGGAAGAAAGCTTGGAAAATGATGGCCTGTTTCATCTATCCCTATTTATCAGTAGTTGCACGTAAAAGAGATCAGTATTTCCCAGATATTAGGTAAAATGTTATAAATTGAATCCGTGAGTCCTTATAGAAGGTACAGTATAGCAGTATGTGAGCTATAGTTTCAATCGCCTCTTGTTCATAGCGGCACAGTCTCAGCTGTGCTACAGGATTTTTTTGTATCAGCCCTATGGGATTTTTTTGTATCAGCCCTCCAAAACTGCTGTGAGAAATGCTGTTGCAGCACAGTAAGGTTATTCAGTATAAATATCTCGTTTTAAAAGAGGGAATTTGACTCCTCAAATAAACATTCTTGGAAGAGCAGACCAATCTTGTTAGATTTCCAGATCTTTAGTATGTTGTTAAGTGCACTAAGTGCACAGGCTCAGGCCAACAACTGGATACCATATATCCTGATACAGTTCTTGCAAACAAATTCAGAGAGGAACAGGAACGCCATAGTGCAACCGTCTTCTATAATCTCTTCTGTTGGGACAGTTCTTGCAGTTTTGAAGAAATGGCTCAGAAAGGAAGAAAGCTTGGGAAATGATGGCCTGTTTCATCTATCCCTATTTATCAAAACTCTGCAGAATGATTGAAATTAAGGCAAACATGATAATTTCTCCTTCCAGTAATTCTCATCTGCTATTGTCTCTACCATTCATCCCCAATCTTCCATTTTATTTGGTATTTGACTTCCAAACGAAATTCAGACAAAAGTATTGGTATTTGTGAGACTCAGTTGCTCTTTACATACTTGCATATTCCTATTCTGACACACTCATGGGAGCTATGATCCATCATAATGGAGTGCAAAGACCCAGAATTCAGAATTCTATATCCAAAGGCCATGTTTATTTCACTGTCTTTTTTGCAAATGCATCTTTGTGGACAGGCATCACCTTGGGACAAAGAATCAGCAATGTATACTGCTCGCAAAAATAAAGGGAACGCAAACCCCTTCAGTTCCATGGTAAAATGTTCCCTTTATTTTTTTGAGCAGTATATTTGCTTTCAAAACTCTACGGTTCTAATTCATCCAAAGCCAGCAACATTGTGATGTTTTTTGTCCATATATACACAACTATTAAAAAAGCAGAAGCCGTTTTATCATTTTATCATAAAAGAGCGGAAGCTCTTTTATCATTTTTAAGTCAGCATTTTGTCCTTCCAAAGAAAGCTATCAGCACTCTATAGCTATCCCGTCCTTGCTCAAGAGATAACAGAGGCGCTGCTGAGTGAGGAAAAATCCTCCATAAAACAGAACATTCCAAAGTGGAATGAACATTGATCGGGGCGACAACCTTACAAAGAAACGTCATCGAATCAGCTATTGAAAAGACGGCTCCCATGGATTGCTTTCTCTCATAATCATGGAAGAGTGGGGGAAAAAACTACACCTCCCAGCATCCCTCTGCAAGGTCTTGCACTGAGGAACAAATCATTCGGACGTTGCTAGGAATTAAGGATTCTGGGATTGTATGTTCGGCTTCAAGGAAGTTATTCTAAATCTAAGGAGTTTCAGTTTAGTTTTAGGAAGATAGAATCTGGATATAATCCTTTTAGCACGACGAAGGAGGAGCAACGTGCATGACTTTCTGCGGAAAGGTAAATCTTGGTTTTCTCGCTTTCATTTTTTTTTGGGTTGGGGAGGGGAGGCGAAGGAAGGGACGCGCTTTCCAAATTCTCGGTACTGTGTTGAGAGAGAGATTTACCTGTGATTATCTAACGACCCGTAGCAATTCGCCTGCATAAGGATAGCCTTTGCCGTGATGCATTTCTATTCCAGTCTGAGGCTACGAGTAAGCTCGAAGTATTTAAAAGCTGAAAAAGTAGCACCGAAAGTAGCTCTGGAACCCTCTGCAGAGCAGCGAAGGAGATCCATTCAGTCGTTTAATAGAAATGTGAGTTCCCGGATTGGGGGAAGAGGACGGTAAGAGAGGCGTTTTGGACTTAGTGCCCGCCGAAAGATGACAAGCTAACGTGGCCAGGGCGAGTCCAAGGTGAGACCTGGAGGCGATTTCCTGGAGGCTTCCTGTGCGATATACGTGAAAGACTCTAGATAATTTTTTCCTATTTCAGGTTAATTTCCCAAAACTGTAAGAGAAGATCATTCTCTTTTCCATTCAAGTACTTCTCACTGGCTTGGACATTATGAATGAACTAAATAGATAAACCTAAAATACTGTCTCCATCTATGTTGCTCTTGCTTTTCGTAATAGTCCTGTTTTACCCGCAATGTGTGGAAGGATCCGTGTCTAGAAACAAACCAGATCCCACCTTCAAATAAGTGAAGCTTCTGCATAATCGGGGAATGACTTAGGGACATAATGAAGGCTTCCTGCATCTTGGGACAAAGGATTGAGAGGGAAGTGCTGGCTCAGGATCTCAAATAAACCTCATTATTCTCTATATTATGGCCATACTCTAGTTCAGTGATGGCGAACCTTTTAGAGACCGAGTACCAAAAAACTGCCCCCTACCCCGTTCCGCCTCCCATCCTGCTGCTCCGCCCCCACCCACCCCCTGCTCCGCCCACCTGCAGGGCCACGCACCGCCTCCATGGCCCACCGCAGATCACCCAGGCAGCCCTGCAGTGCCATGGCAGCCACGCCCTCCACCCACACCCCACAGCATCATCTGCACACTATGGGGCGTGAGGGCGGAGTTTTGTCTCTGCTGCCCGTCTATGTCCTGGGCTGCGCTGCTCTGTGCGGGCCGTGCCCAGGGGCAACTCTCCTCCAGGGAGGCTGCTGGTGAGGAGGGGGCCACGGGGGGAGGCGGGGCTGGGGCAATGGTGCATGTGCCCACAGAGAGGGCTCCGAGTGCCGCCTCTGGCACGCGTGCCATAGGTTCGCCACCACTGCTCTAGTTCATGGTTGTCTAACCTTTGGCTTGCTTGGGCTGCATTGAGTGAAGAGGAATTGTCTTGGGCTGCACATTAACTATATAATATAATTAATAGATAGATAAAACTCTTTTGTTATGTTTTTTGTTATTTTATGAGGAGCATTACTACTTGTCCAGGGCCACATGCAGGCCATGGGTCAGACACAGCTGATCTAATTCATCCACTCGGAACTACCTTTTTTTAAATGATGTGATGAGACATGATCTGAGTTACCTGCAGTCCAAAATATTTAGACATCATGTAAAGATACTTTAACTCAGGGGTCTTCAAACTTGGCCCTTTTAATGACTTGTGGACTTCAACTCCCAGAATTCCTCAGCCAGGCACGCTGGCTGAGGAATTCTGGGAGTTGAAGTTGACAAGTCATAAAAGGGCCAAGTTTGAAGACCCCTGCTTTAACTCAAGTGGAAGAGCGTAAACTAATAATGACAGTATCTGGTTTGACCAGCAAGGCTAAAAATGGTATAATCCTGTTCCCATTCCTAATCTCCCAAACTGTTATGGTGGTTAACTATTAAAATAATCCTTTATAATAATACTTAAAACAGTCTATTTTTAGTAGACAAAAAGAACTCAAATTTATTACACAATAAAGAATTACACTGGTTGTAAAAATGAAATAATTAAGCAAATGATTTAATTAACATAAATTAACATGTTTAGAGAATATGTAAACAATTGGTGAGTGATTTTAATCAGTTATTTCTATTGCTCTTCCTCCTCAGTTTAAATAAATTCATTTTGATTGTCATTTTGAGAAATATCTTCATTGTTTTAATAACATTTGCTGCTAAATAAATTAATTAGACTTGATATTTGTTCAGGTAGAAATTATATTTATATGAGTTATTTTAAAGTTCTTAAATTGTGTATAATTAAATTATAAGCCATTATAATTTTAACCCGGATAAATTAAATTTTATAATTCTTTTGTTGTATTACTGAGCACTGCAAAAAAATTAAAGTTTGAGAAATAAAATAGAAAAGTTAATAAATTGTTAATCTTGTTTCTGCACAAATAAATCAGTTCTTTTGACCATTGCTTCATTTCATTTTGCATCCATAATAATTTGTTATAAAAATATAATATTTTAATGTTTTGACATATTTCCTAATTCTTTTTCTTGTTTTCAGTTAATTTGTGGCTAATGAATACTATCCATAGATGCCTCAGAAATGTTTTCATGTTGTAGGAATTCACTAGGTTCTTGACAAATATTTCTTATAGAATTTTAATTGAAAATAAATTTATATTAAAAATAAATATTAAAATATTAAATATTAAAAATAAATGTGTAGAAATAGTGACAGAACATTTATTGAGTTTAGTGCCATTCTAAGCATGTATTGAAAAAGTTCAGTAAATTCAGTGAGGTATTCTCCTTTGCAACATAGGTTAAAGTTATAGTCTTAGTTAATTATTTGGATGTTAATTATTTTGGATGTTTATTTGAATTTTCTTTTTTTTAGCTGGGCAAGGTATATATTTTCCAAGAACATTGGGGAATACATCTAGAAGAGACCTTCAGGATAGACAAAATAATGTTTGCTGTTTAAGCAAGAAAGTAAAACTAATCAAATCATTGAAAGTTAAGAAAAGATGGCAGAGGAAAACAAGCAATCTGCTCAGAAAGGTATGGCTCATTGTTTTGCATATTATACATGACTGTTCAGAACTAATGGGACACTTTTGTCTACATTGTTAAGAAGTTCTTAGTTCAAATCCACTAAGTGTCTTTAGGCAAGTCACTATTTCACAGTTCTACTTTGTTGTATGGGTTGTTGTATGGAAGAAATTGGAAAGAGTAGTGTTAGGTATATTGGCTTCAATTTAGGACAGTGGTTCTCAACCTGTGGGTCGGGACCCCATTTGGGGTCGATCGACCATTTCATGGGGGTCGCCAAGCAAGGCTGTCCGCCATTTTTTTTGTCCGCCATTTTTTCCCCCTTTTCCAGCGGGTGCTTTACCTCCCTTGGGCTGGGCCAGCTGGTGGTCGGCCTGCTCCGTCTCTGCCGCTTGCCAGCTACGCCTCGACCGGCGCAGGGGGCGGAACCACGCATGCGCGGTGCTCCCGGGCAGGGAAAGTCCTCGACTTACGATCGGTTGGGTAGTCCTCGACTTACGACCGGTTTAGTCCTCGACTTACGACCGGTTTAGTCCTCGACTTACGACCGGTTAGGGTCGCGGCATTAAAAAGGTTGAGAACCACTGATTTAGGAGGAGGGGTGGGATATACATTTGACAAACAAGTAATACTGTTAAAGATGGGAATTCATTACATTTAGAAAGTAGCAAGTGGTCAAGTAGCAATCTAGGTACTTTTGTTCAATATACTTTTTGAAAATAGTACAGTAGTGTGAGCATAGTGTGTGTGGTAGGTGCCTGTTTTATAAATCTTGAGTTTTCCAGTATGAAGTGGTTTTCCCCCGTCTAAATGGATAGCAAATTGGTAGCTGCAAGCTGAAGGAATAGTGCTGAGATCATTTATTCAGCTGGAGTCAGTCGAGTGTCTAGCTTGAAGTTACTGGAGGGACATAAGTGAATCAACTGTAAACAATTTTTTTCTCAGAAGTTTAAAAGAAGTCTTACAGCTTTGAAATCCTTGAGAAAAAGATGGGATATAAATATAGAGAGAGCATTGGTTGGCAAAAACAGAGATTTTTTTTTTTACTGATGTAAGATACTTTATAAGCTATCTTTCAGGCAAAAGCTTCCAGTGTGGCCTCTGAAGAATAACAAGGCCAATGTGAAAATAAAAATTATTAAATTACTAAAAGAAAGCTAGAAACTGGTGAAAAATAATCATTTGTGATAATTCACTGGAGATACAATGCTTTGCTTCCTTTATCCTGGAAAGGAAATAGTTTTCTTGAGCACGTAACAACTTAAGTTACTGAAACCATATTTTGTATGTTGCCCCATACAGACCTCCCTGAAGAAGAAAAAGAAAAGTCTATGTCAGAGAGGCAGATGAATCTTCAGTCCCCCTCTGTAGAAAATATCTCAGCCAGCCTTCAACAGGATAAGGCAGAAGAAACAAAAGAGGATTCCTTGGTAGAAAACCTGTCAAATTCTGATGGATTTCCACCTGGAACCGAGGCTACTGATGCTACAGGATGCATTGTAGGGCTTCCATCTGATTCTGCTGGTTTACCTGATAGTTGTGTAGATTCAAATTTGTTGAATTCTTTACATGAAAAGACAGAGTGTTCCACCCATACTGACCACCTAGATTCTCAGAAAGAGGAAAAATCTTTAACAGAAACTGTTCCAGAAGATAAAATCAATTCACACAGCCAGCAAAGCCAGTACACTCCGAAACATACTGAAGAAACAAAAGAAGATGGTTTGGACAAGGAAAGAGAAACAGTTCAAGATCTTAAAGGCACAGAGAAGGCATGCCCAATTCCAGGTAAAACAATTAATGAGAAAATACAACAGCATATTCTATATTAAATTTATTAACAAATAAAAGAAAAAACGAACACCAGGATAAAATAAACCAGCCTGTTTAATATAAACAAGTCTGTGGTTAAAAAAGTCCTAAGCTTTATTATAAACTTTATACATTTATTAAGTATATTTTAACTGCAAATATATAAGACAAATGGGATTGGCAAACTCCAATGTCAAATTAGACAACTGGAATAAAATATTTGACATTGGTCCATGTTCTAATTACATTTTCTAGTTGCAGTCAGTGCTAATAAGTACACTTTTGTTGCAGTGGTTCTTCAGATGAATGCTTTGCTAAGATTTATAAACTGTAAAGAGTAAAGGTTGTTAAAAAATCCCTCTTTTTTAGTGCAAGTTTTAAGGAAAGACATGTCAAATCTTGGTGTCCAATAGACTGAGTGTCCTATTTAATTCTGTACACTTGCTATAAAATCAAAACTAAGTTGAGTAAATAAGCCATGCAGTAATTAATGAAATTCAAGTCTTGATAATATCATTTATAGTTATCATAACTGTTTATTTCTAGTTTATTTACTGTGTAAAACAAAGGGTGTTAACACCTAAATCAAGTAAAATGAAAAAAAATCATCTTGCTGTAACTAGGGACCATGAAATCTTATTTAAAAATGATATTTTAATACAGACTTTGCAGTCCAGGAAATGTCTAAAGAGCTTATACAATTGAAATATTGTAAAATACCGCAATACTTCATTTACATCTGCTGTTTCGATGGAATTGTGTATGTTGCGCTTCTTAACTGCTGCATATCTACAGAAATTAGTAAAACTGGGACACCAAGATAGTTTGCTAAGCTGTGACTTGCTGAATAAATTATGGTGACTGGGTTCGCACCATAAACTAGGAGCAAATCCAAAGAAATTATAGAATGGTTTGGTATGATAGTTCAACTTGAACATAGAATGGCCAGAAAACATGAAATTGCTGAACTTTTGCTGAACTTTTGCTGATTACTTACAGATTAAGGCAGGCATCTCCAAGCCGCAGCCCACTACTGGGCAGTGAGCTGTTCAGAACCAGGCCACGGAAGCACCTGGCAAGTGGTGCATGCACATCCCCATTTGCGTAAGCAGCGGGTGAGTCGTGTGCACTCCATTTGTGTGAGTGGCAGGCGTGTGTGTCCACTGCTCGTGCAAATGGAGCTGCATGCATGCGCTTGCTGGCCACTTGCACGGAACCATCCCCTCTCCCCGCCAGTCCGAAAGGTTGGGGAACTCTGGATTAGGGCAGTTTTCTGAACTTCAGCTCCTCAGTTATTAGATTGTAACATTCATAACTCATATCCATTGACATGTAGTGAGGAATTCTGGGAGCAATGGTTGAAAAAGCTTGCTGTACTGTTATAATTTCATATAACTGGACAAGTTGTTTCTCATAATACTGCTATGCTCTTTTTTTTTTTTAAAGATGTACAACATAGGACATCCAAAGTAGTGCCTGAAGTCTATTCTCAGAAGACAGTTGAATGCTTTACACCAGAAGTAAATCAACAGACCTCAGTGAAACAGCTAATAAGAAACTATTATCAGTCTCATCAAGATAATGGTAAGAATATTCTTGATTTTTTTTAAAAACTGATCAAATAAGCCATACAGTAATTCATGAAATTCAAATTCCGATAATACCATTTGTAGTCACCCTAGCTGTTTATTTCTAGTCTTATTTTACTGGGTAAAAAAAGGATGTTATAGCTAAATCAAGTAAAATGAAAAAAGCAATACCTTGCTGTAACAAGGGACCATGAAATCTTCATTTAAAATTATATTTAATACCTTAGAGGCTTTGTAGTCCAAATGTGTAAAGAACTTCTTTGTTTATGCATGTGGAATATCATAAAACATCACAATACTCCATTTACTCTGCTGTTTTGATGAAATTGTGCATGTTGGGCTTTTTAAGTGCTGCCTGCCATAGAAGATAGTAGATAGACTTGGGGCACTGTGACATAGTTTGCTAAGCTGTGACTAGCTAAAAAACTATGGTGCCTGGGTTCACGTAAGGGATTTGGTGAAAAAAATTCTCTTAAAGCCAAACAAAAGACATTAATGCTATAAGCGGGAATTGAACCTGAACTCTTTATATGTTAAGTAGGGGTTGACCTGATGCCTGGGGGTGGGAATTAGTTACTGTATTACTACTGTCTCGAGATTGACTCCTTTGAGATGTGAGATATTTCCATTAATAATAAATTGCTTAAGTCTTTGGCATGTGACTTTTGTCTTTGTGTGACGTTGTTTTCTGAATGGCTTTCTCTGTCTTCATTCTCCGTTCCTTGCCCTTGATTATTAGGTTTTTTATTCTATGGAGTTTTTCTGGCAATAACGTTCGTGTTCATTGCTATAAGTTGCCATTATTGCTACCCTTTACACCCTCCAAGTATGCCAAAAAATCCAGTGGTGGAAGTCTTCTTATCAAAGTTTGATCCACTGAAAGACATCTTCCCAGGTCAGAGCCCTCACCTGTGGGGACGAGTACGGAAAATATTGCAGAAACACCTTAATACATCCTACCACACTGAACCAGCTATCTTAATTTTTGCTGCTGCCCAGGAAGCTAAATCAACTCTGAAGTGTCTGAGCACCCAGATTGCCAGTGCCTATTCATCATCCCTGGGAGGCAGCACAGTCCACGTAGATGGAGCTTCTAAATCCACTCTAAGCAATGATCTTGCAAAGCTGGCAGTTGATGAGGAGCTGAGCGTTGGTTTCCATGGAGGAGGAAAGGCAGCAGTAGTACATCAGTTTGAATCCCTGCCTGCAAGTTCCACCTTAATCTTTTACAAATACTGTGACCACGAGAGTGCTGCTTTCAAAGATGTGGCACTGATTTTGACAGTTTTGCTGGAGAATGAGAAGTTGGATCCTAGCATTGGCCTACAGATTGTGGAGGAAAATGTGCGGGATTTCATCTGGGCCAAATTCATAAACTCTGATTCACCCAGTTCTTATGACCTTATGGATACTGACAAGCTAAGTGGGCTCTGGAGCCGCATATCCCACTTAGTTGTGCCTGTTTGTCCTGTGCCATTTATAGAAGATAATGGCTGCTTTCAGCAAGCGGCAAATAAAGAAGATTTCACTTTTAAAAATTAAAGGTAAAAGTGGAGCCCACTTTTAAACCTTCCTTTTACAGTCTTCGGAAGGATTTGCACATATCAGATTTTTTTTTGATTGCTTAAAAGGACTAGAGGTATTAAGATGAAATAAGCTGATTTTAAATAAATATGCATTGTGATGTTAGTTTTGATTATGGCTTTCATAAAAAAAACAAGAAATTATTGAATTGATTTTATAGTTGAGTTGGCATTTGCAATGCAATTTAATGCAATATTTTTAAAGATGGGTAACTACTATAATTTGCACATTTATATATTCATAACAAGTTTGCCATTGGAGGAAAATGGAAAGACTACTCTTAAAATCTTTCTTATGAACAGAATGGTTAGCTTAACCTAGAACTCCTGATTGGCATGTGAGAATTCTAGTAATGAACTAGTGATTATGTGAACTTCTATTCCTAAACAAGCACTACAAAGTTCAGCATATTTGCACAAAATCTCCATATACTAGTTCAGTCAACATACTGAAAATTAGATGCTGATATTAAAGCTAACTGCAAAATAAACTAGGTCCAATTTTCAGATTTTATGCAAGTGAATATATTGAATTTATAAAAAGTTTTTTTAAATACAGCCTCCACTTGGATTAACTTGTCATATAAGTCAAATGCACTGTATTTGTGCATAAGGGATATTTTCTAAATGGTAATTCTAAAAATACCTTTTACTGTAATGTGATATACTATTCTATATATAAAGAAGCTGTTGTATATTGCATCTCTTCTCAGTTTTGATGATTTTTAAGAATTTAAACTACAATTCTTTCCAAATATATAATATAAATATCCTATTGGGAACAGAAGATGATGCCTTACAGTCATTCAGTTTACCATTTCATCTAATTTAGTATTTTTTCAACCACTGATTAGGACTCTTGGACTTATCTGGATATCTTGGCACTGAAGGTGGCTGAGAATTCTTAGAACTGCTATTGTAAAAAAAAAGTGAAGAAAATGCTACCTTAGAAATTACATAAGTATAATTCAGTTCCATTCTAGTAATAAATTGGGACTGCCTAGTTAGGGACTACAAAGTTCAGAGATTTAGAAAAGTGATGTAGTTGCTTCACTGAAGTGATGCTGGGTTAACAAACATACAGATATCTGTGAAGAATTGACAGCCTAAACCTATGGTAGCTGCAATACAAAGAAATTATTTTCATTTTATTTAACTTTATTACGGATGAAATAAAAGAAATTGGAATTTTCCCTTGCAAACCATGCTACATATATTCTATATTTTCTGATAGTTACTAGAATCTATGAGAATCTCCATTCTCTTTTAGTAAATGATTCTCCTGGACAAACATACTAAATCTATTTTCATTTAAAGAGCCTGTGGTTTTTAGCAAAGTTTGGTGCTGGCTGGAGCTCTTCAGATTGCAGTTGAGTAAATTGATGAGTAATGTGAAAGTAGGCAACTCAGGCAAGCATCCATTGATGCCAGTCTGCACTGAACTTAAAATTTCTGTTCCCAAATTTATAGGAACACAAAAACCTGGAATAAGGTAGTGACATACCACTTCCAAAATAGTGCCAAAACCCCCTGCATGAATAGATCTGTGTAGTTACCAGGAGTAAAGCTCAATTCAAGACAATTTTTATCTATTTAATAAGTGTACAATAATAATAAACCACTATACAACATAAAAATTGGATCTAACTTAAGTTAGTCATGTGTTTGTTCCATTGAATTCAACAAGTCTGAAGTTGGTCATCACTGCCTTGTCTCATTGGTTTCAATGGAACTAAAGTGGGATGTGGTTCAAGTCTAATGTAGCAGATAGGAACTAAGTAAATACAGATCTTTTTCAACAGCATTTTTCAATGTATACTGAGAAAACTCACCATTCCCTACCCATGTTTTTCCTGAATATATTCTACAACAAACTTAGCATTGCAAGTTATTTTCCACTGCAGGGTTATGGTTGAAAAATTATCATCACCTTTTAACCTAACAGCTCATGAAAAGCAAATTAATCAAGATTTTTTGAAAGATTGAAAATCAAAAAAGCTCATGAAATGGCAGAATAATTAATGGAGAGTTTTTTTTTAATGTAAACCTAATCAAATCACCTACAGATCACCACAGATGGAGAAATTGGTTAAGATGGCTAACTTGGAAAGGTTTGACATGAGTGATCCAGAAAATTTTCAGTGCTACAGAATTACATTTTAGTGACATATGTCTTTTAACTGGGCCACCAAAGTGATTTGCAAGCGCATACACGAAGCTGCATTTGTGAAAGCAGCACGCACACGAAACCATCCCCTCCCCCCCCCCACTCAACCGCTGCTTCTGCTGATTTGCCAAGCTGGAAAAGTTGGGTGACACTGTTTTAAAGGGCATCTGAGAGAATTTACTGCATGCCCTTCATGCTTTGTATTTGATTTGTATCTAGCAATATTAACAGTTGCTAAGATATGTTCTCATTAAAAATATTATGACAATAAGAAGAAAAATAGCTTTATGACCTGTGAGAGACAGACAGACAGAGGGAGGGAGGGAGGGAGGGAGAGAGATGGGGCCCTGTACTACTAACCTGGGAATAAATTCTATTGAACCTGGTGGATTTTACTTTTGTGTAGGCATAGATGTAGTTCTGCTCTTAGGAAATTTAAAGAAATATTCTCAGAATGAATGCTCTCAACATCTGGTTAGATAATGGGAGATTATAGGAGTTGTAGTCCAAAACATCTGGAAAGCACTTGACTGGGGGAGACTGATCTGTCATAGTAATAAGTCTAAATTCCTACCTCACTTTGTTGCTCTTCATGTTTAGAAAGGTGGGATTTGAAACAATATAATGCCATCTAGTGGTTGTATTAATTAAGGCAAACATGTATGTCTTTGTGAAACTGTAGAGTCAACCTATATAGATAGTCCTCAACATAGGATCATTCATGTAACAACTGTTCAAAGTTACAAGAATACTTGAAAAGTGACTTATGTCCAGGCCTCACACTAATGGCTGTTGCAGTGTCCCTGCAGTCACATGATCAAAATTCAAGAGTTTGGCAATTGACGTTATTTATGATGGTTGCATCCTGGTGTCAATAATCATTTGTGACCTTCCCAGGAGGTTTCTGACAAAGTCAGTGGGGAAAGCTGGATTCACTTAACTGTGTGATTCACTTAACAAATGCAGCAATAAAGGTCGTAAAATCAGGGACAACTCACTTAACAATCGCATTGCTTAGTCTTTAGTCTGGTCCCAATTGTTATCTTAAGTTGAGGACTACCTGTATTTTTCTGTGGGTGGATTATGGATATCTTACATGGTTGCTAATGCATCAATGTTTTTTTCATATATCTTTAAAACACGAATCTCACACTTTAATTAAGTGGCTGTCATTCATTCATTACTTTTATATATTGCCAAATCAGTATAGAATTCCTGTCTGTTATCTGCGGTATGAAAGCATCAATTGTACGTTTAAAATCCTCCAATTATATTAAAATGACATGATACATATTCAAAATTCTCACCAATCATATAAACCAGAGTTCCCCAACCTTTTCGGCTTTGCAGACCAGTGGGGGAGGAAGGAGATGGTTCTGTGTGCGCGACAGGCAAGCCCGCACGCAGCTTTAGTTGCATAAGCAGCATGCACGCGCACCCACCACTTGCGCAAATGAAGCGTGTGTGCACGCACTTGCCCTCTGCTCGCACAAGTGGGAATGCTTGAGTGCCCCTTGCCTGCCACTTCCACGGCCTAGTTCCAAAAGGCTCAAGGCCTGGTAGTGGCCACGGCCCGGGGGAAGGGGACCCCTGATATAAACAGCAAAAACAATAATAACAGATTTTCCAAGTACAGTTTCAAAAAAAAGGCTATCTCTGTTATCTTCCAGCAGTCTCTGGATGAGCTCTATGTTACAGAAATTAGCTCCCAGAAACTTACAAGCATAATTTCTGAAGGGAGCCTATTTCACAAACTATGACAGAGATGTGTTTGCTAATCTTAGCCCTCTCTATGTCACATGGGGAACAATTTAAAATTTGTGCCAGGATGTTCAAGGGCTGGTCAATTCCAACTGGAGAAAGTACCTGGGTACTTTTATAGATCAAAACAGCAATTTCATTTGGAATTGGAATGGTGTCTCTAACATTGAGTCAGGATTTTCATTATATTTGCCAATACTGCCTCTCGTGGCAATTTCCCCTTGATATCGTTACTGTAAGCAGGGATTCCCAAACTTGGCAACTTTAAGACTTGTGAAGTTCAACTCCCAAAACTCCCCAGCCAGCATAAATTGCATAATTAGCCTGCAATACTACATTCCAATCACTGCATCATCACAGATAGTCGTTGCTAACCGACTACTTATTCAGTTATGATTTGAAATTATGACAGACCTGAAAAAGATTATGACCAGTCCTCAAAGCTGCATCCGTCACTGTGTCCCCATGGTCATCTGATCATGATTCAGGTACTTTGCAACCAGTATATATCAACCGTGGAGCCATGATAGGGGAGATAAAATCAGAGGAAAGAACAAGATTGGAGCTCTCTATGGCTTTAGTCAAATCCAAATCTAAAATAGGGTGGAGTTTCTTCAATTGCCATAATCAAGAAATTCAACTGAGGTTCAAAATTTGAATTAAAATCTCAAATACAGCAGTTTATTTTTGCTAGTAGTTCTCTTCCCTTTCCTTTTCCTTCCCTGAAAAAGTTTTCTCATTCCCTGGTTTTCATCTTTCAGTATTTACACTTCAGGGTCTTGGGTAGGTCTACAGAGAATAGCACTGTTTCTTTTTTGTGCTCTTTGATTTCTGCTTTGACAGCTAAAGTTGGTGTTTGATGGTAGAGTATTGTTACACAAACCCCAGCTTTAAGATTACCTTTCTAACCAGAAGTGTGTTGTTGTTCTTGGATTTTTTCATCAAGAGTAAAATATATTTTACTGTTCAAATAAAGTAATATATCTTTAATTTTGCATTTTTTTTCAATGAATACTTTAGGAGTATGACTTTTAACTTTATGAAGGCTTTGAGACGTTCTTTACTTAATGGAAGTTGTACACTCCTGTTTTATATGCTGTCCTATACAGGAGTACATCCAAATATTTTGGACGGCTCACTATGGCAAAAAAGAAGCATAAGTATTTTTATAAATAGTGAATATAAAACTCAACTCAATTGGAATAATTTCACAAAGTTTAATGTATATAAAATCATGAATTTTATTTTTAAATTCACGTCAACGTATAAAATACATAAGGGAATGTAGACGAAGTAATCCAAATGTTGTGCAATACCTGATAATTATAAAGGATCAAAACCCAAGGAGAAATTGCAAAAGATAATGTCCACAAGGCTGCAAAAACCACATAGGGAGACAGAAATGATGAATTCTAGGTTTCTCAACAGAGTTAAGGGCAATAATTATAGACAATTGTTTTTGTAGAATGCAGGGAACCATAAGTTATGGCCAATCAGCTAAAAGAAGCTTTCTCATTTGGTTGTGAGGTTTCTCCTGAGAATTATTGGATAAACAACAAAGACTACTGTTTATAACTAAACCTTATAATACAACAATATCTGCTCTGATTCATAAGATCAGAGCATTTTTCAAATATCAACCTACAGTGGCCAAAATTGTGGAAATCTTTTGGGAAAAGTGTATTTTTGAGGTTTGATGGCTAATAACACCACTTTTTTGGGGGGAGTAGTACCATAAAATTATATATCAATGGAAAGATAATTTAATCAAGAA